TACTCGGGCGCAAAAGCCTACACTAGGGAAAGTGTCCCGGGACACCTCCGACACCCGAGCTTGGCATACTTCTTTCACACTCTAACTTTACGTACCTTTTTCCTGAAATCGAGTGACGATGGTTAGCGACCCTTGCGTGTAACGAGATAAAAAAAATGTGCGTAACTTAATTTTAATTATATAAATATTTATAATTGAAAAAAATGTGGCTTTTAAAACAATTATATTTTAATATAATAATAGAAAATTTGGTATCATTATTGTAATTTCAAAAAATTAATATTGCATATAAGATGTTGCGAGATATATTATTGAATGAAATTAATAATTGTGAATATTTAAAAAAAATTGCAAATTATATGAAATAATAAATAAAACGACGCAATTCCACAGCCTAATCATACACACACAATGTAGAAAATACGTCGTGCACGATACGCTAATGCATCGTCAATCGCTGAAAAATTGTTATAAGTTTATGAACTATGATCATCATACCCATCGCCTTTCTCTCATTCAAGTAGCACCTGAGCACGTGAGTGAGATCCTGGCAATAGATATGGAAAGGGTTAAATCTGAAAATCCTGAGCTAAAAAAAGATATTAATATATCTAACGAACTAATATTCTTCAATTCAAGATTTGTTTATTTTATTTTAAATCAATTTAATAAATTCATAACATGAATGAATTAATATTAAATACAGAAAGATATCAATAATGTGTATAAAAAGACAAAAAAATTTATTTATGAAAGTAACAAGAAATAACTTTAAATGAAATATCAATGAAATAACCTCAGGCGATCTTTTCATCAAAGCAGACTTATGAAAATATGAAAAACAATGTTTAAAACTTTTGCTCTGATTCAAAAATCTACCTGTCACGAAATGTCTTTTTGCGCATAAAATTTAATATTTTATACGAAAAAAATAAAATTAATATATACGAATGTATCAATATAAATTCAACTATCAATATTATTTTGTTAAAAACACGTTGTGCAAAAAGACCTATCCTGATCTAATAAATAGAGAATGGAAAAAGAAAAATGTTACTACTCACGAGTATAAAAAATACTCGTGGTCATTGTGCTCGTGCAAAATTCTACGTATACAACCAATCACCCGTGTCGATTCGGACCTTTCATCCTACGACATGATTGAATGACTGGAGGAACATAAAAGCATGCGACTCACCAATGATGCGAAGAATCTGCATTGTCGCAGGACATCAAATATCATCAGGAAATGGAAACTGTAACAAAACATGGAACATTATAATTAAAACACAATTCTATTTGAAAAATTGAAATAAATGGAAAAAATATAAAAATAATTACCTCTTCGCGTGATGGATGATCGCCTTGTTCTCTTGAGAAACACTGACTCTATTTTGTAAAAAACACTGATTCTATCTCGAAAATGAATATTAAAAAAGTAATAAAAATAAAAAATTATTAACTATAATTTATAATTGGCGAACAAACACTGACTCTAGTCTTCACGACTATCATAAATAAGTTTAATTAAAACTATTGTTTTCTAAAAATATTTAAAAAAACTGTTACGAAGCAAACACTGAATCAATCAACCGCATTGCGCGCGGTTACAAAAATTCTCTGGAAATAAAATTATATTAACAATGGAAATCTATAGAAAAAGAAACAAAATAATCTTTCTATATTTTCTTCTTTTTTTAATCGAATATTTATTTCAGAAAATATTATCATAATTTTGAAGTTAGAAATTTATTATTATTAATTTTCATGAATAAAAAAAATCTCATATGTAAAAATTATATATATTTATAGAAAATTTATATTTTAATATTTGTAATGAATATTCATTATAGAGATATAATTATACTTTAAAATAATAAAGTATATCATAAAATATACCATGAAATAATAACAGAATAAATACATACAGTACAGAAGATATAAAAATCAAAGATATAAAAAATATAATCAAGGAAAGAAAAAAGAATGTTATATGAAGTATATCTTCTTTAATTAGCATTTCCTGAAAGAACAAATCTGGAACAAACTTAATTGAATGATTAGTATAATAATTAAGAAAAGAAAAAGGAAAAGAAAAATAATATTGATCTGAAACAATATAAAAAAATAAATTTTATAATGAGCATTCACTATTATTAACTTTAAAATATTTAAATGCTAAGAAGAATTTAAATTCAATATTTTAAAAGAATTAGAAAATTTCTTACTTGCAATATTTTCTGCAAAGATAGAATGTGATAAGAAGTGCTGAAAAAGAAAACAAGCACCCAGAAGGGCTACTAAAATAAAAAATATCTTCCACTCGATATGAACCCGAACAAACCGCGAGTGGAATTGTTTTATATCGCAACACTAATAAATTAATATTTTATTTTTATAAAATAGAAAATTTTTTTAAATCAACCACGATGAGTGCTTTATCATATTTGCAATATTGATTTAAATTGACAAAAAAAAATTCAAAAAAAAAAAACTGAAAAATTCCCGAAAACAATATTTACGCAACTCTACGCACTCAAATTTAAATAACGCAACACTAATAGCGGAAAGTCCAATGCAGTCTCCATGACTGCTATCGTGCGATCACCCTTGCAGCTTTTTTAGCCACTTAAGGTGATACAGGAACAAAAACGTGAGTAGTTCCACAATCACAATGGAAGAAACTTGGGCATTTAATATTCGCAACACTATTTACAAACGCGATTATTTATCAACGCAACACTACATTTTAAAAATTCAATAGAAATCATTATTTCTGTATGACTAGAAAACTATTATTAAAAATAATGAACTATAATTTAAAAATAAAGCTATCAATTTATTTTAATTAAATAAATTAAAACAATTTATAATAATAAAAAATGCAAACGCGATTCTCATTTTAACTAATCCAAAAGTGATTTCAACGCAATGCTAATAAGAAAACGCGACAATTATAACGCAACTCTAATTCAACCCGTTATATTAATCAATCGCAACACTAATAAAAAATCGCGATGCCCATGATGATTAGACCCGATGGGCCGGCATGCATCGGCCAGACAACACAACAACAAATACTACGTATTATTAAAACGAGCACAGTGACAAAATAATAACAATGACTTCCCATTCTTTGGACTCAAAGAAAATCCAAAAGATGAGAAGCCATTCGTTGCAGCCCTCTTCGTGACAGTTTGTCGGGCCTCTTCGGTCTTCCTCCTTCGGGCGCGATGCCCGCTGAAACTTAAATCTAGGCTCGAGATTCGCTAATCGCAAACAAAAAAAGAATAAAAAAAAAGACTAAATCGCGAAAACTAGCACATGGACGACTAATAATTGCAATAATCATTGTTCGTACATGTGCAGAATCTCGAGCGCAACGTTCGTTTCGAAAGCAAATCGCGATCGCGACCGCGGAATTCGAAAAATCGATGAGCAAAGCCAGAGACGAATGGCATTCGTCCATTCGTTTCAGCTTCACCATCGATTTTTCAAATTTTATTTCCTGAAACAGGTTGCCACGCGAAAACGCGCCTACCCGACCGGAGACTGTGACAACCTGCCCGGCCCCTACCTACTTATAATTAACAGACATACCAGAAGTATACTACCTATCCTACCTAGCCCTATATTTAAAAAATGGCAAAACAGGCATACCAACACATTCATTCCACGATTCTCACGCATAATACTCGGGCGCAAAAGCCTACACTAGGGAAAGTGTCCCGGGACACCTCCGACACCCGAGCTTGGCATACTTCTTTCACACTCTAACTTTACGTACCTTTTTCCTGAAATCGAGTGACGATGGTTAGCGACCCTTGCGTGTAACGAGATAAAAAAAAATGTGCGTAACTTAATTTTAATTATATAAATATTTATAATTGAAAAAAATGTGGCTTTTAAAACAATTATATTTTAATATAATAATAGAAAATTTGGTATCATTATTGTAATTTCAAAAAATTAATATTGCATATAAGATGTTGCGAGATATATTATTGAATGAAATTAATAATTGTGAATATTTAAAAAAAATTGCAAATTATATGAAATAATAAATAAAACGACGCAATTCCACAGCCTAATCATACACACACAATGTAGAAAATACGTCGTGCACGATACGCTAATGCATCGTCAATCGCTGAAAAATTGTTATAAGTTTATGAACTATGATCATCATACCCATCGCCTTTCTCTCATTCAAGTAGCACCTGAGCACGTGAGTGAGATCCTGGCAATAGATATGGAAAGGGTTAAATCTGAAAATCCTGAGCTAAAAAAAGATATTAATATATCTAACGAACTAATATTCTTCAATTCAAGATTTGTTTATTTTATTTTAAATCAATTTAATAAATTCATAACATGAATGAATTAATATTAAATACAGAAAGATATCAATAATGTGTATAAAAAGACAAAAAAATTTATTTATGAAAGTAACAAGAAATAACTTTAAATGAAATATCAATGAAATAACCTCAGGCGATCTTTTCATCAAAGCAGACTTATGAAAATATGAAAAACAATGTTTAAAACTTTTGCTCTGATTCAAAAATCTACCTGTCACGAAATGTCTTTTTGCGCATAAAATTTAATATTTTATACGAAAAAATAAAATTAATATATACGAATGTATCAATATAAATTCAACTATCAATATTATTTTGTTAAAAACACGTTGTGCAAAAAGACCTATCCTGATCTAATAAATAGAGAATGGAAAAAGAAAAATGTTACTACTCACGAGTATAAAAAATACTCGTGGTCATTGTGCTCGTGCAAAATTCTACGTATACAACCAATCACCCGTGTCGATTCGGACCTTTCATCCTACGACATGATTGAATGACTGGAGGAACATAAAAGCATGCGACTCACCAATGATGCGAAGAATCTGCATTGTCGCAGGACATCAAATATCATCAGGAAATGGAAACTGTAACAAAACATGGAACATTATAATTAAAACACAATTCTATTTGAAAAATTGAAATAAATGGAAAAAATATAAAAATAATTACCTCTTCGCGTGATGGATGATCGCCTTGTTCTCTTGAGAAACACTGACTCTATTTTGTAAAAAACACTGATTCTATCTCGAAAATGAATATTAAAAAAGTAATAAAAATAAAAAATTATTAACTATAATTTATAATTGGCGAACAAACACTGACTCTAGTCTTCACGACTATCATAAATAAGTTTAATTAAAACTATTGTTTTCTAAAAATATTTAAAAAAACTGTTACGAAGCAAACACTGAATCAATCAACCGCATTGCGCGCGGTTACAAAAATTCTCTGGAAATAAAATTATATTAACAATGGAAATCTATAGAAAAAGAAACAAAATAATCTTTCTATATTTTCTTCTTTTTTTAATCGAATATTTATTTCAGAAAATATTATCATAATTTTGAAGTTAGAAATTTATTATTATTAATTTTCATGAATAAAAAAAATCTCATATGTAAAAATTATATATATTTATAGAAAATTTATATTTTAATATTTGTAATGAATATTCATTATAGAGATATAATTATACTTTAAAATAATAAAGTATATCATAAAATATACCATGAAATAATAACAGAATAAATACATACAGTACAGAAGATATAAAAATCAAAGATATAAAAAATATAATCAAGGAAAGAAAAAAGAATGTTATATGAAGTATATCTTCTTTAATTAGCATTTCCTGAAAGAACAAATCTGGAACAAACTTAATTGAATGATTAGTATAATAATTAAGAAAAGAAAAAGGAAAAGAAAAATAATATTGATCTGAAACAATATAAAAAAATAAATTTTATAATGAGCATTCACTATTATTAACTTTAAAATATTTAAATGCTAAGAAGAATTTAAATTCAATATTTTAAAAGAATTAGAAAATTTCTTACTTGCAATATTTTCTGCAAAGATAGAATGTGATAAGAAGTGCTGAAAAAGAAAACAAGCACCCAGAAGGGCTACTAAAATAAAAAATATCTTCCACTCGATATGAACCCGAACAAACCGCGAGTGGAATTGTTTTATATCGCAACACTAATAAATTAATATTTTATTTTTATAAAATAGAAAATTTTTTTAAATCAACCACGATGAGTGCTTTATCATAATTTGCAATAATTAGATTTAAATTAGACAAAAAAAATTACAAAAAAAAAAAACTAGAAAAAATTCCCGAAAACAATATTTACGCAACTCTACGCACTCAAATTTAAATAACGCAACACTAATAGCGGAAAGTCCAATGCAGTCTCCATGACTGCTATCGTGCGATCACCCTTGCAGCTTTTTTAGCCACTTAAGGTGATACAGGAACAAAAACGTGAGTAGTTCCACAATCACAATGGAAGAAACTTGGGCATTTAATATTCGCAACACTATTTACAAACACGTTTATATTAATTGTGAATATTTATCAATATAAATATATGAGAGAATTAAAATACTAAAATAGAAATATTTAATACGATTATCAATTTGGAAGTAAAACCTATAATATTCCATTAATGGAAATTATAATGAGATTAATGCATATACCTAATTATATTGCATAGAATGATGAACAACGCAATTCCACAGCCTAAACACACACACATAATGTGGAAAATACGTCGTGCACGATACACTAACACATCATCAGTCGCTGAAAAATCATTATAAACTTATGAACTAGATTCATCATGCCCATTGCCTCTCTCTCATTCAGTAGCACCTGGGCACGTGAATGAGATCCTGGCAATGGACACGGAAAGGGTTAAATCTGAAAATCCTGAGCTAAAAAAAGATATTAGCATATCTAACGAACTAATATTCTTCAATTCAAGATCTATTTATTTTATTTCAAGCTTTAATAAATTTAATATACAAATTCAACGAATTCTTATCAATTTTAGAAAAACGAAAAATGTAGAAACAATAAATAAGAAATTTATTTTGAGAATTATTAATAAATAATTGATTCTGAATGGAAATTTATTTATTTTATTATTATATTTGCAATATATTTACTAATAAAAGTAACCTCAGGCGATCTCTTTATCAAAGCATATTTTTAAAAATATGAAAGAAATATTCAAAGCTTGTAGCTTTGATTTCAAAATCTGCCTGTCGCGAATTGTCTTCTTGCATATAATAGTTGATATATTTTTAAACGAGAGAAATAAAAATTATTATCTTTATTATTTATATATGTATTTAATTTATATATGTATAAATATTTAAACATTTGACGTTTGTAAATATACTTTACTTGATTCTTTTATATATTACAATAACTTATTTTTAGTAAATGAACTACTATTATTCAAAATTATAAATATTTAAAAACACGACATGCAAGAAGACCTATCCTGATCTAATAAATAAAACACAGGAAAAATAAATGTTACTATTCACGGATATAATAAATACCCGTGGTCACTGTGCTCGTGCAAAAATCTACGTATACAACCAATTACTCGTGTCGATTCGGATCTTTCATCCTACGACATGATTGAGTAATCAGAGGAACATAAATGCATGCGACTCACCAATGATGCGAAGAATCTGCATTGACATAACTCATGGGATATCAAATATCATCATCAGGAAATGGAAACTGTAACAAAACATGGAACATTATAATTAAAGCATAATTCTATTTGAAAAAATTGAAATAAGTAGAAAATATATAAAAATAATTACCTCTTCGCGTGATGGATGATCGCCTTATTCTCTTGAGAAACACTGATTCTATCTTGTAAAAGCACTGACTCTATCTCGAAAACGAATATTAAAAGAAAAATAAAAATAAAAAACTATTAACTATGTCTATAATTTATTATTAATTTATAATTGGCGAACAAACACTGATTCTAATTTCGCGTATAATTATTGAAATTAAACTTATTTATTAAGTTTTAAATTGAAAAAAACTATTACGAAGTAAACACTGAATCTATTGATCGCATTGTGCACGATCACAATAATCTGAAAACAAAATTAGTTATTAGTCAATTGCAGAAGCAAAGAATATAGAAAAGCAAACAAATGTTTTCATATTTTTTTTTCATATTGAATATTAATTAAAAAAAAATATTACTATTTTCTAAAAAAATCATGTTGTAAATATTTATTAGAATTAATATAAATCTATCCACATTATGCAACATATTAAAAAAATTTCAGAATTTTTGCAAGTTATAGAAAATTTATATGTAAAAAATTAATTTATATGCAAAAAACATTGCTAATCATGGATTATTTCAAAATCTTTTCTATTATCATCTTCATATTTTCAATATAATAATTATGAATCATGTAAAAATATACATACTATACAAATAATAATTCAATAAAAAGAAAATACTTACATACATCTTTCTTTAAAAATTAAAAATTTATTCCTCTTGTTACTATGGTATTCATATTGAAAATTCTTTTTCATGTCTAAAATAATTTCAGCTACTTATCTGCATAAAAGAAATCAATTTTTTAAGATAAATATATAAAATATGTAAGATTAAATTAATTGTATTAAAATGAAAGAAAAATCTAACATAAATCCTATTTTAGGAATTTGAATTAGTGATTAACTCTAATATTAATTCTAATAATATTCAATAAATAATTGAACAAATGCATATAAATGAAATAACAATACAAAAAGTAAAAGAATAATTGTCTAATGTATTAGAAAATATATATTATGCATTTGAAACAAAATTAATCACAAGTTTCGACAACAGAATAATCCTTTGTGTAACGATTTTCATGTACTGTACTGAACTATAAATTGGGAAGAAGAGGGGATGAGGTGGGAGGGAGGGAGGGGGGGGGAGAGGAGATATATTCGATAATTCGAATCAAATCATATCGAAGAAATAATATACGAATTAAATATACAGATAAATACATTTAGTATAGAAATATATGAGAAAATAAGGAAATCTTACCACATTTATATGATAATTGTTGAATTATCTTTTAATCATTTTGGCGTGCACAAAAATTATTACATTTCCGAAACCATCCCGCCTTCAATGCTTGGATCAAATAATGACACAAAACCGACAAAAGTTCAAAACACTATTCAATTCTGATATAATAATGATTAAACAAAACTTAACAACTGATTAATTAAGTTTAATAACCGTAATACAATAATTTATCACTAAAAATTTTATATAATTGTACTTCTCAGCCGATGAAACGTGACCCATCACCACAATTTTCAACTGTAGACTGACGTCATGCGCACCATGATGCGCATTGATTCATTTCGCGGTTAAATCTTACCAACTTTCTGATTGGCTAAAAAATAATTATATATTTCTTATTTTAAACGCGCGAAAATTGAAATATAATATGAATTAATTATAAATTATTAATATTAATATAAATTACAATTAAAATAATTCTAAAATAAAATGATACAATATTTTAATACAATTAAAAATTGAAAATTAATAACTTAAAACGATATATTTTACTGTAGTTAATAAAAATATATATTATAAATATATATCATTTATAATAGTTAGAATATTTTAACATAGCAAAAATTAATATTATAAAACAATAAATCTAGTTCTTAATCTGTGTTCTAAAAATTTGGATTACAAAAATATATCAAATTTTATATCTAGTGTGTTTTTGTTTCTAGTTATCGACTGCGTAAATATGCATGATGTCATACCGATCTGTATTCGTTTGCTTGTTATTCATGAAAGTAGTTGGTGCATGTGTCGCACCAGCTGATTGGCGCTTCATCTGCGACGAAGTGTCAAGTTCGGCGAGCAGGTGGTGCTCGCGTGCCACGGCATTTGTAATGGCGTGCGACGGCTAGGAAAAGGGCAACAACGCGCACGAGTGCTCGAGTTTTCGTCTGTTGTAAAAACGGGAAGTGCGTTAGTGCGTGCGTGGTGTGACAGTATCGTTAAAATGACAACGACGTCGAGCATTCTGCCGTCGTATCAGCGGTTCGTGAACGGTGTGCCGGTGCCTCTATTCTCGAGACGGTCGTTCCGCCCGCGTGAAAAGTATCTGATCATGTTGGTGTTTTTGACGTTCGGTGTCGTGTGTTTCGGAACGTTCTTCTTTTTGCCGGATTTCCGTCCGGGCACCGGCGGCGTCGCAGTGAACAGTGTTTACCGTGTGTACCAACACATGCAAAAAGCGGGACCGGAATTACTTATACCGGCGCCACCTCGTTTACAAGGGGGTATAAAGGGGTCCATAGGTCATCTTAATGCTGTGCCACCTGGACACGAGGGCATTGATCATCAGGATGTGCATATTCTTCAGGACAAGCAAAAGCTGCAGGTCCGCGCGTGTGTCAGAATCTCGACGTTGCGCTTCTTTCGATTCTCGATTGTGCTCGACTCTCGATTTTGTAGCTTACTCGCAAACTCGTGATTTCGCTTGTCATCGTTTCTTGAGAAATCAAATGGTGCTGTTCTCTTTGACAATAATTGTATGATCTTTCTCGTCGTGATGTCCTTGTTTTTTATAACGTCTTATGTGGTCCGTTCTTTCAGCTGTTACACGCTTTCCCGATTCGTTTGTTTACATGCGGCCATCGTGACGTATCGCAGGCACACGTGTACACGCGTAACGGAGCAAAAGTTCACACAATCCGTAATTCTTATTTTTTTAATTCGTGATTATTTTTTGCTATGTTCATTCGATTTGATTCCGCGCTAACGGTCAAAACGCGCTAATTGTCAATGTGTGTATATGAGCTACATATTTATTTCAATATGGCCACCATATTTTATTTAATATCGATCGATCTGTCAAGATTCGATAATCGTAATCGTTTATCGTTTTGGAGCGCCATTTTGTTAGTTTTGTGTCTGCGATTATCTTTTTTAATCCTGTTTTCATTACGAATTGTGCGTGAATAACGAAACGTTTTACCCACGTTTTGTGTAATCGAAATCATAACTCACAGGATATCAAATATCATCATCAGGAAATGGAAACTGTAACAAAACATGGAACATTATAATTAAAACACAATTCTATTTGAAAAAATTGAAATAAGTAGAAAATATATAAAAATAATTACCTCTTCGCGTGATGGATGATCGCCTTATTCTCTTGAGAAACACTGATTCTATCTTGTAAAAGCACTGACTCTATCTCGAAAACGAATATTAAAAGAAAAATAAAAATAAAAAACTATTAACTATGTCTATAATTTATTATTAATTTATAATTGGCGAACAAACACTGATTCTAATTTCGCGTATAATTATTGAATTAAACTTATTTATTAAGTTTTAAATTGAAAAAAACTATTACGAAGTAAACACTGAATCTATTGATCGCATTGTGCACGATCACAATAATCTGAAAACAAAATTAGTTATTAGTCAATTGCAGAAGCAAAGAATATAGAAAAGCAAACAAATGTTTTCATATTTTTTTTTCATATTGAATATTAATTAAAAAAAAATATTACTATTTTCTAAAAAAATCATGTTGTAAATATTTATTAGAATTAATATAAATCTATCCACATTATGCAACATATTAAAAAAATTTCAGAATTTTTGCAAGTTATAGAAAATTTATATGTAAAAAATTAATTTATATGCAAAAAACATTGCTAATCATGGATTATTTCAAAATCTTTTCTATTATCATCTTCATATTTTCAATATAATAATTATGAATCATGTAAAAATATACATACTATACAAATAATAATTCAATAAAAAGAAAATACTTACATACATCTTTCTTTAAAAATTAAAAATTTATTCCTCTTGTTACTATGGTATTCATATTGAAAATTCTTTTTCATGTCTAAAATAATTTCAGCTACTTATCTGCATAAAAGAAATCAATTTTTTAAGATAAATATATAAAATATGTAAGATTAAATTAATTGTATTAAAATGAAAGAAAAATCTAACATAAATCCTATTTTAGGAATTTGAATTAGTGATTAACTCTAATATTAATTCTAATAATATTCAATAAATAATTGAACAAATGCATATAAATGAAATAACAATACAAAAAGTAAAAGAATAATTGTCTAATGTATTAGAAAATATATATTATGCATTTGAAACAAAATTAATCACAAGTTTCGACAACAGAATAATCCTTTGTGTAACGATTTTCATGTACTGTACTGAACTATAAATTGGGAAGAAGAGGGGATGAGGTGGGAGGGAGGGAGGGGGGGGGGGAGAGGAGATATATTCGATAATTCGAATCAAATCATATCGAAGAAATAATATACGAATTAAATATACAGATAAATACATTTAGTATAGAAATATATGAGAAAATAAGGAAATCTTACCACATTTATATGATAATTGTTGAATTATCTTTTAATCATTTTGGCGTGCACAAAAATTATTACATTTCCGAAACCATCCCGCCTTCAATGCTTGGATCAAATAATGACACAAAACCGACAAAAGTTCAAAACACTATTCAATTCTGATATAATAATGATTAAACAAAACTTAACAACTGATTAATTAAGTTAATAACCGTAATACAATAATTTATCACTAAAAATTTTATATAATTGTACTTCTCAGCCGATGAAACGTGACCCATCACCACAATTTTCAACTGTAGACTGACGTCATGCGCACCATGATGCGCATTGATTCATTTCGCGGTTAAATCTTACCAACTTTCTGATTGGCTAAAAAATAATTATATATTTCTTATTTTAAACGCGCGAAAATTGAAATATAATATGAATTAATTATAAATTATTAATATTAATATAAATTACAATTAAAATAATTCTAAAATAAAATGATACAATATTTTAATACAATTAAAAATTGAAAATTAATAACTTAAAACGATATATTTTACTGTAGTTAATAAAAATATATATTATAAATATATATCATTTATAATAGTTAGAATATTTTAACATAGCAAAAATTAATATTATAAAACAATAAATCTAGTTCTTAATCTGTGTTCTAAAAATTTGGATTACAAAAATATATCAAATTTTATATCTAGTGTGTTTTTGTTTCTAGTTATCGACTGCGTAAATATGCATGATGTCATACCGATCTGTATTCGTTTGCTTGTTATTCATGAAAGTAGTTGGTGCATGTGTCGCACCAGCTGATTGGCGCTTCATCTGCGACGAAGTGTCAAGTTCGGCGAGCAGGTGGTGCTCGCGTGCCACGGCATTTGTAATGGCGTGCGACGGCTAGGAAAAGGGCAACAACGCGCACGAGTGCTCGAGTTTTCGTCTGTTGTAAAAACGGGAAGTGCGTTAGTGCGTGCGTGGTGTGACAGTATCGTTAAAATGACAACGACGTCGAGCATTCTGCCGTCGTATCAGCGGTTCGTGAACGGTGTGCCGGTGCCTCTATTCTCGAGACGGTCGTTCCGCCCGCGTGAAAAGTATCTGATCATGTTGGTGTTTTTGACGTTCGGTGTCGTGTGTTTCGGAACGTTCTTCTTTTTGCCGGATTTCCGTCCGGGCACCGGCGGCGTCGCAGTGAACAGTGTTTACCGTGTGTACCAACACATGCAAAAAGCGGACCGGAATTACTTATACCGGCGCCACCTCGTTTACAAGGGGGTATAAAGGGGTCCATAGGTCATCTTAATGCTGTGCCACCTGGACACGAGGGCATTGATCATCAGGATGTGCATATTCTTCAGGACAAGCAAAAGCTGCAGGTCCGCGCGTGTGTCAGAATCTCGACGTTGCGCTTCTTTCGATTCTCGATTGTGCTCGACTCTCGATTTTGTAGCTTACTCGCAAACTCGTGATTTCGCTTGTCATCGTTTCTTGAGAAATCAAATGGTGCTGTTCTCTTTGACAATAATTGTATGATCTTTCTCGTCGTGATGTCCTTGTTTTTTTATAACGTCTTATGTGGTCCGTTCTTTCAGCTGTTACACGCTTTCCCGATTCGTTTGTTTACATGCGGCCATCGTGACGTATCGCAGGCACACGTGTACACGCGTAACGGAGCAAAAGTTCACACAATCCGTAATTCTTATTTTTTTAATTCGTGATTATTTTTTGCTATGTTCATTCGATTTGATTCCGCGCTAACGGTCAAAACGCGCTAATTGTCAATGTGTGTATATGAGCTACATATTTATTTCAATATGGCCACCATATTTTATTTAATATCGATCGATCTGTCAAGATTCGATAATCGTAATCGTTTATCGTTTTGGAGCGCCATTTTGTTAGTTTTGTGTCTGCGATTATCTTTTTTAATCCTGTTTTCATTACGAATTGTGCGTGAATAACGAAACGTTTTACCCACGTTTTGTGTAATCGAAATATTTATGTATAGCGAAATATGAAAATTTAAATTAGCTATCGTTCTCATTTCATCACGCCCGGTTTCTCCAGAAAATGACATGTTCTACGTATCACGCGTATTAGCGAATAAATTACGCGTATTGTGAAACATACTGTGTGAAACGTAACTATGTGAAACGCATTTACTGGGATTAAATTATTTAATTTATCATCATATTGCGGGCCGAGAGAACGAGTTTTATCAATGTTAATAGACTCTCGCCCTAAAATTTCAAAGCGTAATTTCCGACGCATCGACGTGACCCTCATTGAGACATTTCGTTTCTATCATTGTATGCACATGGATGACATGTTAAGTAATGACAATTATTCTTTTCTTATCTTATTTTAAAACTTAGGGAAATTTTGAGTTAGTGAATCTATTAATAATAAAAATATATTTAAGTTGTTAGATTTGTTAAATTAATTGTTAATATAGAAAAATGATAGATATAAAGATTGATGAAAATTGCGTATCGATTAATTTGAAATTAATTAGAAAGATAAGTTATTTGCTGATAATAGAATAATGATATCTTGAATAAATCAAGATTATTAATTTTAATAGGATATAGGATAAAAATTAATATTTTTATTACTTTCTTTAATTTTAATTTTTACCTAATTTTTTTTATTTTTTCCATTAAGAAAATTAAATAAAACAAAATTATTCAGAGCTCAGTCTGATACAACAACTCGATATTTATTCAATCGTCGATAAAACAAACTTTAATTCCAAATGAAAATTTCCACGTGTATATTCTTGAAATCGTTTTAGCAAGATTCGGAATATTATAAAATCACCTCTAAAATAATCGAAAACATGGTGAAAGCGATATTGAAAAGACGGTGGAATCGAATCGAAAGAAACGAAAGTTACATCTTGTTTTATCAGTTAATTAACGATGACGAATTGAAGCTTCATTTACGATTCGAATAGGAGACTATTCTCGCGTTTATATCAAAATGTTGACGCCCCTTGTTCCGTGAAGTAATAGAATTTATCAAGGATTTACATTTAATCGAGGATATACGATTCGAATATTTAATGTTGCGAAACGCGTTCATTCTATTTGCATCGTTCTCGATAACCATTCACAGATTTTCATTGTGAATTTCGTCTCGCAAACGAAATTTTACAAACGTGATTGTTTGTAAAAATCTTGATTATTTTCGAACGTTACAATTTTTTAAACAAAGATTATTTTTTATGATATATATACATATGTAGATACAGTTTATTATTTAAAATTATAATTTTTATTCTTTCTACGATAATTTTAATGAATGAAGAAATATACCGAAAATTTTTTACATTTGTGCATGATCCTTTTGAAATTTTTTTTTTTTTATATACGCAATGATTTTTTGTTGTTGTTAATATATTATTATATTTATCAATATAATAGAAGCTTCTTAAGTATATATACTTATTTAAAATGTAATTTTAACACGAAAAGCAGAATGTTTAATTAATAGTTCTTCGTTAGTTGGATTTATTAAAATTGAGGCGCGATTTTGATGGCAATTTCATCGTAGAACTAGGTAATTCGACTGTAATTTAGCACTTGTTCCGCGAGTTTAACATTTGCACGTGTTAGATGCAGCATGTTCAAATTTCACCAGTTCCTCGTATAAGAGAAATGTTATCCAACATTGAAATTATGATAGAGAAATAGATTTATTTGTTATTAATTTATATACTTATCTTGAAATATTTTATCTTCATATTTAATATCAATAGTTTTTCATACGATGGAAAAAATAAGGGAATTTTAAAGCGAATATCTGTGAATTTGCCATCGACTTTCAATCAGGTCGTTCATTGAAAGTGTTACGGATATATACACATTTTCGATCGATTCACGATCCACAGGCGATCTTCCCTATTAATACGTGATCGATTACGGAATGTAGTTTGCATAATTGGAATTATTCATTCGATTTCACGTGTGCAATAATCGACTAAGAGATATAGTTTGAATTAAATAGGTCAGTTGAATGGAAAACTGATTTGGGAATAAATCAGTTGAAAAAATGATAGAATGTATTTTTAATATGTTATAATGTTAATAAAAGATAAGAATTTTTATATTTGTTCAGAGAAAAAGTTCTAATCATTTTTTTTTTATTGGCTAATAGTGAAGTAGACTATCCTTATTCCAATTTATGAAATTAATTAAAATTCATGGAAGAAAAACATTCACTTAAAAAAAAAAATAAATAAATGAAAGTTCTTCTAAATTTTTTAAAAATTGATAATTTTCGCAATTGCAATATTATTAATTGTTAGTTTTGCTATCAATACACTTACTTTTATATTTTTTTTTGTATTTATATTCGCATAATTTAAATTCGTATTTCAGAGATATTTACTTGTTATTTTCTGATAACAAACTTAACGCCATAAATTACAATGTATATAATTTTCCACGATTCGAAGTTATATAAAAATAGAATGATTTTAAGTTTATATGTGAATATTACCGCGATATTATAATATTTTAGAATAAAACTAGCATGATATATCGTCGAGTCAGTATTAGATAATGTGTATATGCGAATAAATTATTTTTCTTGATATTCTCAGTCAAATCTATAGTGTACGTGTATCAGATCAATCTTATTTATCGAGAATAATAAAATTTTAATGGAAAATAGCTGTTATATTAGTATTATTATTATTATTTATAACAAGGAAAATGTCCTGTATATTTTAAACTTCACAAGAAATGCGATAATAAAGGAGTAGTAGCAATAGCAAATAATTGATAGGAAGCTAAGATAGGAACTAACATCGTTATCGATTATTGCAATATTGATCGAAAATAAAAGGTAGAAATAATTCTTGTTTTTACGTAACACGATGATTTTTTTTACGTATTTGAGAACATTTAAAGAAAAAAAATCGGTAAGGAAAAAAAAAAAAACAGTTTATCGATTAAAGGAATAAATTTAGATTTAAAGCTACATTATTATATTGCTACTGGAAGTATATAATTATATATGGGAATTTCGTGTAACGTATAATAATCAAATAATTACACTCATGTGCATGTATGTTAATTCCATTCGCGATATTTTAATCAGCGCGTAATTATATGCACAATTACGTCGGACAATAATAAGAAATATCATAAAAATTAAAATTAGAATTCGTTGTGAAAGTATTTTTAATTTTTCTGGATTCACACAAATAACATTGGCGGTCCAACAACAAAGATTCAATTCAGAATCCTTCCATCACTTTCAAATTATTAATAAATCTAAATGAGCTCAAAGCATTGCAATTATCCCTAAAAATTTTTATTCTCCAAACAAAATACTTCTCATTCGTTTCAACAAACTCGATCATAATCGGTTTTTCCTCGAAACGATAGAGTTAAGTTCGAAATCGTTTTAACGCAGAGGGAAAAGCAAGCGTTATACTCGCAACATTTCACCTTTCGTTCTTTTATAATCACGGCTGGTCGAGAGCCGATATTTCCTGAGCGATTCGAGCGAAAGAAGCGTGTTCTCGAGCCGAGATTGCATTCGTACGGCGGTGTTCGAATAAATAGATCCGAGGTCTCTCTCTCTCTCTCTCTCAAGCGGTCCGGAAAAATTTGATTTTCATTCCACGTGGCGTGTCTTTTCCACGCTTTAAGATGAAAATTTTGTACGAGGCATTGCCGCGTGTATCGCTCGGAAATAGGGTCTGAATTCGAAGGGGCGATGAAAATGCGCGTTGATAAATTGTAATTTGTAAATGGCTGGGAAAATAAACGTTTCACGATCTCAAAGAGACTGTGTCGCTGTTACTGACCTCTCCAGCTCAAACATCCTGTACCTTGAATAAATTGACTTTGATTATGCGTTTTATAGAGATTCGATGACACGGTGGAATTTCGAAATTTTCTGAGTAAACGTTTCGTTGTTTGATTTTTTTTTTTCTGTTTGCTTTCTTTACCTATCTATTTTTCGCTTCGATTCCTTGCTGAATACATTATTTCATTTTTTTTATGGAAATAATCTATTATGATCGAATGATTCGTGCGAGGAACGGTACACAGTTGAATTATTCGACATTGAAAAGGTTTATCAGGTAGAATATATTTGCAGTTTGATAAGTCGTAAAGTTTATAATTCGTTCGTAGCTGAAGCTTATCAATATTATCTAAACGTTACCTTGACTGATAAAACAATTTCTTTTAAATATCTTTTAAAGAAACGTATAAATTTTAAAATAATCGAATGATATTTTAACCAAACACCCTGTACATTCGAAATTAATAGTAAAGATTACTATTAGTCCTAATAATTTAATAAATACATAATTCTTTTTACGTATTGATCCTCCACGAAATAAGATCTTCCATCACCAATGAGATTGCGAAAAACATTGTTTATTTGAAATTATTCCAAGCAACGAATCGAAATTTATTCTTTCCATATCTGATTTCATTATTCTCTCGCTCTGTTGTTCGTTTCGAAGACGTTTCTTTCTCGATTTCTAAAAAAATCGAAGTTCGCATCAGAAAAAAAGTAGATTGTTTTAATAACAAGGACTAGCTTAACGAGAGACCATCGGATTTTTATTTTATTTTCTTATTCTCGACGATGAAATTGGAACACATCTAATTGATTAAAAAAAAAAAAAAAAAACCGTCGTTCGAAAAATCTCGATCCGCGATCCGATCTGACCGAATTTCAGGCGAAGATCGACGAGGAATATCAGCAACAGAAGATGTTGGAGAAGCCGGAAGTGATTGGTGAAATACATGTGCGTGTTACTAGTTCACCGTCGTTAGTGCTTCACCGGAAGAACGAAGTTTCGGAGACTGTGCCGCCAGCACCTGGGAGTAAACTTCCTTTGACGGTCGGTGGAGAGGACAAGGACCCCATCGCCAGGGAACGGAGGGACAAGGTCAAAGAGGTGAGTCTTTCTTCTCATTCTCATATAAAATAAATTGTCGACGATGTTGGCTGAAAGAAGAAGTAATTTTTTTTTTTTTTTAAGTAAAATATTGAATAATATTTTGGATTTTTAATTAGGAGGAGACATTATTAATCATTATCGATTAGATTTAAGTAGAAACGTTTATTTTATTTTATCTATCAGAAATTTATTTTTAATATTTTTTTAATTATTATCCTCTTTGATCCTAAAAAAAAGACTTTTACATTTTGTTTCATCATCGATTATTGCGATGGAAAAGAGAAGTTAAAACGTTTTTTTTTTTTTAGATAGTTTAGATTACGCGTTTCAAAATTACGTAAGCTTTGTTAGTCATCAAATATTGTTTTTCGTTATGTACCATCAATCAAGAATAAGCCTCTATGGTTAATACAGTTTTATAATTGTGCAAATAGTTCATTCATGTAGAATTTTATCTTTATCTTATTTGACAAAGATAAACAAGATATATAAATAACACGAGTATTTAATTCAATATCTCGTGGACAGCGATTATTCTTCAAAAGTATATTTAATTTAAGATAATAAGAAACAAGTAGAAGCAGAGCATTTTTGTTGAAAAATTTTCATTTTTATTAAAAATTAAATATCTATTGTGGTGGAATTTTTTTCTTATAGAAACTAGGAAATTGATAATATTTACAAAACTTGGATTTTAATAACAACTTGCTTTTCCAAATTGAAATCCACGTTTACGTGTGATAAACGAAATGAGTATTTCGAATGTAAAAAGCTTTTCAAATATTCAAAGCAACTTGAATTTTAAGCAGCAAAACTTCATCATTCCTACATAATATATTTCTGCGTATTCTCTGAAGAATTTTTCATTATTTCATTTCTTTTAATATCAGAAAGAATCATTATCATCTGCGATAAAATTTTTCCAGAATGTAAAACGCGATTCTTGCAAAATATAATTTCTTCAGGATTATTAAAACTCGTTTATCTTTTGAGCGTGAATTAAATAACTCAAGTTTATCGATCTCTTATTTTATTATTAATCTTTTGAGCATTTAACATTTTACGCAAAAAGTGCATATAGAGTTCGGCGGTCAGTATTAAACGGGCAATTTGCCAAAGAGATGTTTAAAATAGTTCACTCCATTTTATCAGAAATTCGCATTGGATAACACATTGAGATATATCCATTAAATGCATCGAATACTTTCAAGCTTAATTCATAATTCTGTACAAGAATACAGTATTTAATATCAGATTAAAATAAAAAAAAAAAAGTCCAAAGATGGAATTATTGTAATTAGTCGAAACACGTGACGATATAGAAAAGAAAATTTATTACAAACGTAATATCATCTTCCAAACTGTGATGATAACTTGATTCCAAATGCATCAATTATTCCAAAATTTCGACTCGAAAATATAATCGAAAAGACTGTGCAATTCGCAACAATTACACAATTAAAGGTACAAGCTATTTTTGAAACACGCGTTGAACAGGCGCTCAAAGGATAAACTCAGAGATATTCTCAAACGCGAGCATTCCGCTCCCAACTTTTCTTCCCATTTTCCAACCAAATTTCCAGCGGATTCCCCGTTCTACGTACGTGTTGGTTACATTTGCGTATAAATGAGAATACAGTATGCGCATCCACGGATATTTCGATTAATAGCGTTTCCCGTGGTCGGACAAACGAAACCGGCCACGCAGGGGTAAATCACCGCGAAACGAACGACCCGCCTCGAGCTCGCAATTTAGGTTTTTTCGACACTCGAAATAAAAAAAAGGAATGAAATCGTTGAAAAATCGAGAGATAAAATTAGCACGTCGTTCGATCTGTTAAACGGCCGCGAGAATGTTGGAAAACGAACTTTCGACGAGTTTTTCCATCCGGGATCGTAAATTTGAAAAGAACGTTGAAAGAATGGAGCTCTCTCTCTCTCTCTCTCTCTCTCTACGATATATAACTCGTTGTAATTTCCGTGAAATTCGTCCATTGTTTTTGTTTTGAGAGTTTGTGGATCGAGATCTATCCGTCTGCAGTTCGGTGCATAATTTTCCTCGATATACGCGTATACAACGTGAAGTTATTTTTTTATTTTTTTCTTTTTTCTCACGGAAGAATTGGAATCGAATCGAATTGTTCTCGGTATTAGGTCGTTGTGAAAAATATAACGTGCTACGGATGCTCAATTTTTGAAAAACGAGCGATGGAAGCGCGAGCGTTTGAAAAACACGAATTCTGAAATGGAGAAGTGGTAATTTTTTTTTAGCGGTATATTAATAGTGGGATAGATTTATTTTGTTTAAAATTCCTATGGCGGTTATTTTGATCGCGAAGAATTTTATTTTTTGAACATTGAACACCGTTCCGTTCGATTGTAAGTTGATTCTTTTTAATGCGTGCATTAATTTTCCATCGATTAATTTAAAATTCGATGAATATGTAAAATTACAAAGGGATGTATAACGTGTTATTTAAATATGTAAATGAACGAATAATCCAAATTAACGATTCTTTTTGAAAAATACAGATATCGTTGTGAAATTTTTTACAACAATAATTTTTACATATAGTTACATGGTTCGTGAAGAAAAATCAATACCATCATAAATTATATTCAATTACATACAGAATTTTGACATTAACACGTTTCATTTCTAAGAATATAAGTCGGAATATAAATCGTTGCACAAATATTTCTTAAAAGAGAGAATATATAATTTGCATGGAATTTCATCGGAAACCAATTTTTAAACAAAAATAATCGGTCCCTTTCAACACTCGGAAAACGATCGTTCACGTATTTTCAATTGGCGAAAACGCGCCACAGTTTCAAATGGTTTGTTCCGCGAAACGGCGGGTTTTAAATTGTCATATCCCATCGAACGAATTCTCTTGATAACGTACGACGATCCATGCAGAATCCGCTTCAAATTTTTCACCACGACCCCTCCAACACGACCGCTTTGTTCATCGATCGCGTATTCATCGAATTTCCGGAGCCACGCTCATTTCCATGCTTTATGAATGGGTCCACCGTGCTATTATCTATTTATCGCTCTATCAAATGTTTCAACGTAAACGATTTCGATTTCCATCCGGTCGTATGATTTTTAGTATACTCGTATCACGGGATTCCATGTATCATTGATGTGTGCACACAATTATTGTGCCCGCTAGATAAATTTTTCCTTCTCTGATTTCTTACGTTTTTTTTTCTCTTCCCCCTAATTTTTCTTCCTAATTATTTGATTCGATTATTCATCCGATTTTTAATTCAGTTGGTTATTATTCGATCAACGCGCGGATGAATCATAATTTTGAAACCATCGTACGAATACTTTTCGATTCTTTTTATTTGTATTTCTATTGCATTGTTATGGAATAAAAATTCGAGAAACGTTCGAGCAAATATTTATTTTGATTGATCGATCCGCGCGTTAAGATTGATTGATAATCGCTCGATTATCAAGGTGTGCGTTCATTCTTAGATGTGTTGAGTGTAGATCCAGATTAGCGTTTCGCAAATATCAATCTTATCTGATTCATAGCCGAGAAATCAAACAAGATAAAAAATGTTTTCAAAATAAAAGTAGAATAAATTTGGAATAAGACCTGGTTGACAATTTCATTCCAAATCTTTTTCTCCAACCTTTCGCCAATTCAATTTCATTTTCATTTCTCATTGTCGTGTCTGATTAATTAAATTATTACGACGCCGTAATATTTATTACACTTTCCTTCGATTAATTTCGTTTCGTTTCGAGCAATTTTTTAATACACAATGTTAAACGAAAATCACGATGGAATCGTCTTACCTTATGAATTAATGTATTACACGTGGAAAAAAGATATGTGCAACGAATTCGAATAACTCACGTCATTCTCGCGTAATTCGTTCTAACGCGAAAAGATATAATATAATATATATTTTTCGTTTATCGTAAAAACGTTGTAACGATCGCGCAGGCAGGCTCGCCTCGGTGAATTTCTCGCTGGCAATTAATTTAATCGGTTCTGTATTCATCAGTGCAAGACCGTAGCCGCGTTTAGCTTTGTTCCTTCTATCTTTGATTGCAGTTGCTTGTTCATCGTACGTTGGATTGTTATGCACAGTTAGTAATGCGCGAGCGTTTTCACATGAGTGCCACTGTAATCGTCTTGGAATTTCCTAAGCATCCTTGCAATTGCCGGGAACAGAACGTTTGGCAGCTGGTGATAAACCAGCTTATCAATTCAATAATTAGAAACTCGCAATTATTCTCTTCAATTATCGAATGAAATTTGTTCCGTAATAATCGTACAAACCTTTTATAACGTCAATTCTTTTCCCAATCCATTTCGTGACGCGATCATTACGCTCGCTATTGTTTCGTCGATGCATATTATCTTTGATAATAAAACGCCCTCCCCCCTCCTTTCTCCATCGCATTCAATCATTAAATTTAGATTAGATCGAACGATAAACTCGATGATTTTCCAAAGGTATTATTCATCGTCGAGTGAACACTCTCCTCCGATTTCGGAGCTCGATCTCTCGAGCGAAGTTTGACTTACTTCGTTCGGTAAGTAAGGAACTGAAGTCAACTTATCGTCTCATTAAATACTGTATTATATATATATATATATATTCGAAATCTTCGTTCTCGGTACTTAGTTAGCGTCAATGGCAGTTAGTTCATGTCAGAAATTCGTTTAATCGATTAAGGATCTATTCGAACATTGTTGTGTACCTCCTTATCGCAAGAAACTATCTTTTGGTTATTATACGGAAGATCGTGCGTTAAGGCGGATTTAAAATGGTTAAATTTAAGATCGAATTAATAATAAAATTCTTATGTAAATTCGTTACGAATATATATATATATATCGAAGTAAATATTGGAAAATAATTTTAAAATAAGGAAACGTGAAAACGAATCGGGCTAAAATATTCTCGACAACGTTTTAACGATGATAGATCTTCAATATTGAAAACCTGTTCTTTGTATATAA